TGTTGACATTTTGACCCTTAAAAGACATAGAATAAGCTAAAAGTGGTGTAAAATTTGTACTAGTTCTAAAGTTATGACCTGCAGCCTGGGATGCAAGGTTTTCTACACTTTACATCAATTTTCTTCTGACAGGGAGCCAAAGACATGGAGCTCTGATAAGTGCCAAATTAAGGCTTTAAAATCTGTTAAAAAGTGTATACATCCAGAGCTATAGATTGTAGTCTGAAATATGGCAGCTGTTTCCCAATGTTTCGTAAATAGCTTCTCAGGAAAATTAGTAGGTATGAAATTAAAGCTAATCATTGACTTTGAAAATATACCTAATGCTTAATACCTCAAAGTAGCGTGACATATCTTCTACTTGCATAAAGCTTATTTTAAAGAATTTTAAGACTTGTCATTTGACTATCTTGGAGTGACTAGGAAAAAATAGTATTGATGGATGGAGACTTACAAAATCATTCTGACATCTGACATCTGACAAACTTCATTTGTTGCATATTTGTCTTTTGCACGTTGCCTTTATAAGCTAAGATATTAATACTGTGCGTTTATAGGTTTTGGGTTCCTTTAGGGTTTTTCTTCAATTTCTTTTAGCTACAGACTTAGATTGTTGCAACTTAACTTCTTGTGCAAGTGATTAACAACTTCTGGTGGATTTGGTGTGTCATGTCATTGTCCACCCCCACTAGAAAACAGCTACACTGAATGACATGTTTAAGAAAATTTGGCTCTTTTTATGTAAAGAGAGTGGGAAACTCATTAAATCATTACAAGTTTACATTTATTTTATTTATAGAAATCCTTCTAAAGAATATTTTCTGGGAAGAAGGAATGCAGTGAGGAGAAGTCACAGGAAAATGCACAGCCTAAATCTCTGGTAGTGTTTAAAATTGGTGCCTATACTAATCTAATATGAGCTCACCACAGATCCCATGGGAGCTTGATGCACGATTCCAAAGAAACTTATTAACTTCCAAAGCGTGTTTTTTATAATAAAAGTCAGATTTTTTTCTTACTGAAAAAATTCACTTGCGTTTTAAGTCTGAGGAGGGGTAAGGAAATGCACAATGGATCATTTAACATTCTGCTTAATGGTTTTATTAATTCGTATACATTCACTTTGGTCTAAATCCAAGTCTGGTTTTGTTCATGAACTCGAGCATTGAGCAGGATTTTTATTTTTGTGAAAATGCGTAATTAGCTCTAAATGTTTAATTTATTAATGGTTTTACTGATTTTTCTTTTAAATATTAAGTGCACTATTGTAAAATAACTTGACTGCATTATTGAATCTCGCTCTGGCAAGACTAGCCTGCTTAACAGAGAAATCTGGCCTGGTCTGCTTCTCTTACACAGTTACAGATATAGAAGCTGCAGAAGTTAGACCTTTCTGCAGGCAGAAATAACTTACTTTTGCAAGCATTGAGAATGTGAGTAGATTAAACCACCAAAAATATTTAGAGGAGAAAACAGTAAGGCAGGCTGGAATGACAGTAGTTTATTTAACCGCCTGGTGGTCAGCCAGTCAGGAATACATCAAGCAGAAATGAATTTCAACCAGCTACTAAAAACAGGTACGTTAATATTCCTGTAGCCTTAATAGTTTTTATTCCTGATAAAAACCTTTGGGGATACTGAGTAGTGGAAGATTAGAGTATTTGACTTTCTACTCACTTGGAAAGCTCCTCATTTTCCTTTAGGAATTCCTGGCTCTTCTGAGAGGATATCAGGGAGGATGTGTTTACTGGGTTTGATTCTTGCCTGTATTGGAATTTAAGATTTTAATAGTTTGGGCAAATTTGTGCCTGTACGGCACTCCAAGCAAGTAAAAAGCTACACACATAGATATATTTATATAGACAGAGAGAGAGAGAGAGTGTGTCAACAATGAAATAGCATGGGATCCCTTTCAGCATTTAAATGTGCTCTAATTATATTTAAAGCAAGTCTTGTGGTTTTTTCAATTTGTCCTGCCTGTTTTACACACAATAAGTCAAGAACACCTGGCAGTGTTATGATTAAATAACTTTTTTTTAAATGAAAACTCCTTTTTCTTTAAGAGAATCTCCATTGTATTAGAATTAAGAGATAAGATTACTTGACCTTTGAACAGAAAATAATTGTATGGTGAGTTGTCTTGCTTTATCTAGCTTATGTCACCAGGCAGCAGTTTATTGAGTATAAATCTTTAGAGCAAGAGAGTTTATTTAGCTTAGGTATTTTGTTCCTATTCCTTGCATTTCTTGCCTACTTAAAAATAGGGAAGATATGACTCTGGAGTACTTCACCATTCTATGTCATTTTTTTAACACTATTTCAAAACGTCAATAGAAGAAACCTGCATTTTGTGGTCATGAGAGATCCTTGAATAGTCAGATTTGTTAATGTAGTTAGACTGTCAATATCTGTAATGCATAGGTAGCTTATCATGGTGTACACAGAAACAGGTAACTGAAGCCATAATTGCTGAAATATGAGCTGACCTCTGATGCTTGTGTTGTTTTAGGCACCAGAGCTTGTTGTCAAATAGTACAAAAAGTAGCTGTGTTGGAACTTGGGGCTAAAATTATATGCTAGTATCCTAATTTTGGATTATTCTTGTCGAAGTGTGATATTTCTCAACTGTAAGGGCACTCGCTAAATTGCTTGTAAAAATTTGTTAATTCCAAAATTTAAGATGCTGATAAACCTGTGTCTTGGTGAATTTTGTAAACCAGCAATTAGCAATGGTTTAATTGCTTCCTTTTCAAAGTATTTGTGGTCTGTTACTTACAACCTTTTTCCCCTGAAAGATCAACATTTTGAGAGAGGCTCTGGAGACATTTCCTAGACAGTTCCTAATTCAAGTTTTCAGTTAGAGAACCGCAGGTAATGTGTTTTTCCCTGAAAAGTGTGTGCAGTGATGCTGTCACGAACGTGTACATACTTAGAGCTCTTGCTCTGCCTACTGTATTGTGTGCTATAAGGCTATTCTTTTGTTTTGAAACAGGAGATCCTGAGAAGGAACTTAATCCCAAGAAGAAGATTTGGGAGCAAATCCAACCTGATCTTCGTACCAACGACCAGTGTGTTGCTACATACAAAGGAGTTCCATTTGAAGTGAAAGGGAAAGGAGTCTGCAGGGCAGAGACCATGGCAAACAGCGGCATTAAATAAATGAATGGTTATTACAAGCTTTTTCAGATGTTGAAATGGAAAGTAATGCAAGCACAATAAAAAACATGAATACATTACTCCTCTGAAATGCATGGTTAATACCTTTTTTGTTTGAGTCCTCTTCCCGAGGTACAGAATGTGTTATGCCTCCCACATTTTCACAGTTCATTCATTCACCGTGCTTACTGTCCTTGAGGTTAAGTGTTGTCAACAGTCATGAACCACTCAGTTCTCAAGACTTAATTGCCAAGGCTTGTTCCTGGTAGAACTATAGGCAGGCAAGCATATTTTCTGGACAGCTAAAAGCTTTAGAGGATCTATGGAGCAAGAGCATCTCAGTAAGGAAAAAAGGCTGCCGTGTTCCTTGTGTGCTAACTGCTCTTCAAGAGGTGCAGGACTAGCAGTTGGTTGGTGACAATCATCTTCATTCTGCTACTCACCTTGTAATAGTTTTTTCTCCTCTTTTTTCAAGCCGTTTTCAGATATATTATAAGCCTCTGCAACTTTGTTCTTGGTTGTGTTGTCTCAAGTAGTCTGCAGACAATTGTAATGTCTGCATTAACATAATGTCTGATTAAGCTACTCCTCTTTATGTCCTAAGATAGACAAATGGACATAGTTTCTTGTCCCACAGCTAAACTCTTACAATGTCAATAAGATCAAAGCTGTCACTTTGCTAAAAGAGTTATCTAGTTCACCTATATATTTCCTTCTAAATGATAGGGAGTACTAAGAAAGGGCAAATAGCAAATAGATTGTCAGGGCTAGTCAAATGCTACCAAAAAAATCTGTTTCCAATGCCCATACAAGTATAAAATTAATTGAGTTTTTGTTTTAATGTATTTTTATGCAATGATATTTCATACAAAAGATGCTTTTTTTTTAACAGAAATGGCTTCTTTGGTTTTTACAATTAGAATTATTCATTATTAATGTAGGACAAGTAGTCACGGTTGCTATGGTAATAGCCTCAAATTACATCTTTTAATTCCTGCCTTTTAATAATCTGAAAATAATTATAGATTGATTTACAATAAACCTTTTAAGTAACTATTTAGGGATACTTCAGATATTTTGGCATATAATACATACTTAACTGGTTGCTGTCTAACGATTGAAACAGTAAGTGCTTTTTTAACCACTGAAATAAAAAAACTTAGCCACCCTGAATTTTGCAGGCTTTGAACTTCATCCAGTAAGCTGGCAGAGAAAACAAAAGACAGTGATATAAAATTAAAAAGTACAGGCATAAAAGAAGAGATGAACAGTTTTCTTTTTTGAATTAGTTTTGTATGTGCCTATAAACTGTGTTAATTTTTCATTCATCTGGGAATAAGCAATAGTAAATAGTTCTTTTAAATGTGCCGAATAGCGTTAAGCACATGGGAGCTTTTTTATCTGCCTTGTAAGCTACATATCCAATAATGGCTTATTAAACAAAATTCTTGAAGTTCAAAATCTCAATTATAACTAATCTTGAATCAAGGTAAAGAAATACTTTTACAGTAGATAAATCTTAGCTTTTAATGCTGGAAAGCTCTTTACAAATTTTGGAATTCAGAGGAACTTCTGAAAGCTTGAAAAATTGAGCAAAGAGTCTCCCTTACAGTGTGAGCTCATGTGCTTTTTTTGTTTTTTTCTTCCAGATGTGTGTTTTGTATGAATTGCAATATACAATCAGGTATAGTGTAAAATCTGATTTGTGACTACGTACATATTAGGAGCATGGTTTAGAACACTACCTTGTTCTGATTTTATGGTTAAAGCTAGGATTCTGGATGCAGTAGTGTGAGGTACTTTATGAAAGACAAGTAGTTTGGTAATCCAAAATGGTATTTCTAACTGTGTGTTCAAAGGTATTTGGTACAAATGTGGAATTTTCCAGCTGATGGCTCTTTTATTTCTTTAATTAAATGGTACCTACCATAGAAAGTAGACAAATGAGCACATGAAAGCTAATTCTATTCCTTGCTGTGTTTAAGTAGAAGCACTTGATAATTATTTTGTCTTATGAAATTCAAGATCTTTCTTAAGACAATAGCTCTTTCCTCTTTAATTATGCTCTTCTGGTTGTCTAGGAAAATGTATTTATGCTGTACTGAGCTCAAAAGTGACAGCAGGGTACTTGAGGCACTGCATATGTATGCTTCCTCACTGAATCCACCCTCTTCTGCCTTGTCTGCATGAGTAAGTAGAACTGCAGTGAAATCCTTCCATGTGGGACCCAGAAGTTCCTGTAATGAAAAACAAATCTCAAATAGTTATCTCTTGTTCCTTTTCCCCGCTCCCGCTTCATATGCTTATGCATTAACAGACCAGTTATGTGTTCTTTTCCTGGCAGTAATCCAGTTCATGCTATCTGAGTTGCTGAAATTTCTGGGGTTTTTCACCTTCCCAAGACACTGACATCCACTTTCAGTGGGAATATGTGGTTGTGCAGTACTAGCAGTTCTCTGTTCTCTTACTACAGATGTTAGTAGAATTTCTCCAGTTTAAAGTTGTCTATATAAATAAGGGAAAATGGTTGTTTAGCTATGTCACACATTAGTTTACATCAGTAGTTTCCACATATCCATATTTCTACACTTTTCACAGCTCTTTGAAATTTTTTTTTGAAAATCACCAAATCACCTTGTGTTGAAAAAGAAATGATTGATTTCTCTGTAACACCCACTGCAATTCCAGCTGTATCCCATAAAATGAACTATTTTCAGCAATTCAGGAAAAACACAAATCAAATGCCCACCTTGGTGATGGGCCAGAGAGTTTGTCTCTAAGTGCTGGGGTTCATCTGATGGAGAGGAATGAAGAAAACAAGCTACTTTTTTGTCATTAAGTACAGAAAAATTTAATATGAATAAGAGATTGGGCTTTCATTTATAGATGTAAATGAAATTACAACTTTAGTGCAATCATGCTAACTCCTGTGCATGACAAGAAGCTTACTTTGGTAATAAGAACATTGCAAAGTGTACTTTAACTGTAACCTAAATACTGTGGTGTATAAAACTCGTACAGAATTTTGGCATAAGCTGTCTGAGAAAGTGTTAGCTTATCAGTTTTGGAGGGAGAGGATAGCGAATTGATTTACTGAGGACTCAGAGTCAATGCTAATGTTAGTTCTGGAAGCATTATCTGCCACTCTCAATTCATTAGGCTATATTATTGAAATAAAAATCCAGAGTGATTTAAATGCAGCAGTCTTCTAGTGATATGCCATCTTCATTGATATGCCATCCCTAATTTGCAGAGAATCATTGTGTAAACTCCTGATTGCTAAAGGTAGTCTTTGTGCTAATGTCTTCTTGGGGTGAAATAATGAAATATAACCAATACTTCATATTCCTGCCTCCCAGGCAGCTGTCCTGCCCTGTTTGTTTGTGGCTGATGAAATGACAGCATCTGGTCTTTTAAAAAAATAAATAAAAAGCAAACCCATTATCCAAGCTGAGAGCCAGTTGTAATTATAAAGCAGAAGTAAGTGTTGCTTTCTGATTATTTTTAAACATGCTTTATTTCCCTTCCAGTAAGGGTTTTAAAGCTCCATTTAAAAGAGAAAAGGCGTGGTGGCATCTCTTATGCTTTCAATGCCCATATGGACTTGATCCAGAACAGACTCAAGCTAGAAGCATGATGATTTTTTCATTGGCTTAGAGTAAAAATATTTTAAGTAAATACTGCTTTCTCTTAAATACCACAATGTATATATAGAGAGAGAACTTTATAAGGAAAAAGGGTAACACTGAAAACAAATACATGTAAACTGACAATGAGTGAGGGTGTCTTGAAATTAGAACTAACTACTGGAAAAGTGAGGAGCAACCTACCAATAGAGAGCAATAGGGAAGAACAGGAGAACAAATCAAACACATTTTGAAAGCTACTTTTCTATTGATATATTGGTATTTTTTTAACTACATATGTATTGTATATTTAGATAGTGTCAATTACAGCAGATGACAAGACTTGATGAACCACAAGTCCCTCCCGGTCCTAAAGAGTTTTAGAAAGTTTGTTAGTGTAAGACAGCTGCAAAGTGTAATGTGCAGACTTTGACGATAAATGAAACCTTTTGTTTCTTTGTAAATCATAGAAACCTGGTTCCATCTGATCAGGTAGATAGACTGAGCAATATATAGGTTTACTCTTTTTTTGTTGTTTTCCCTTTCTTCAAAGATACATATGCATGGTAAAGAGAAAAATCCAACTGAAAAGAAAGCCATTCATTTTCAATGACCTTCCCCTCCTATCTTACCTACTTGCAAATTTATTATTTTTTTTTCCCCTCAGGAGCTGCAAAATACTTGCTTCAAGGCAGTTATGCTAGAAAATTTACTCTGGCTAAGGAAAACTATGGTAACTTTCTAGTTACTTTTCTCTGGAAGAGGTACAGCAGTAGTGACAACGCAGGATAGAGCTAAATATCTTTGCCACAGGTCAGTCAGCTTTATGTGTGATTTTGGGCCTGTGTCTCTCAGAGCGCAGGAGAGGGAGGTGCCCTGGCTTTGCTTTAAATAGCATTTCTCTTGAACAAACTAGATCTGTCATGAGAAAGCATTAAGTGTAATTTCTGAGGGAAAAGCTTACTTTGATAAGTAAATTCGGTTCCTAAATTCATTTGTGCCATGCAAAAGAGAGCAGTACTCGGCACTGGTGAGGCCTCACCTTGAGTACTGTGTCCAGTTTTGGGCCCCCTACCATAAAAAAGACATAGAGGTGCTGAAGCGGGCCCAGAGAAGGGCGACAAAGATGGTGAGGGGTCTGGAGAATAAGTCTTATGAGGAGAGGCTGAGGGAACTGGGGTTATTCAGCCTGGAGAAGAAGAGGCTGAGGGGAGACCTTAGTGCTCTCTACAACTACCTGAAAGGAGGGTGTAGAGAGGGGGGGGTCGGTCTCTTTTCTCAAGTCACAGGCGACAGGACAAGAGGAAATGGCCTCAAGTTGCGCCAGGGGAAGTTCAGGCTGGATATTAGGAAAAATTTTTTCACTGAAAGGGTTATCAGACATTGGAATGGGCTGCCCAGGGAGGTGGTTGAGGCACCATCCCTGGAGGTGTTCAAAAGACGGGTTGATGAAGTGCTGGGAGGTATGGTTTAGTGAGGATGCTCCTTGTTTGTTGTGTGGGGGTCTATTTTTGTCAGTTAGGTTGACAGTTGGACAAGATGATCTTTAAGGTCCCTTCCAACCTAGAAGATTCTGTGATTCTCTCCTCTCGGGGTTAGCAGCTGTGGGGCATGATGGTGGGGTTGTGCATGGTGGGTTTCAACTGCTAGGCTGGGAAGTGTCCCCGTTTTCAGTTGCACTTCCTTATTTCAATTTTGCAATCAACTCTTCCATAGCTATTGCCACCTGAAGAAGAGTTGCCGTTAAGGGCAGAGACTTCTATTTATTTGTTTGTTACCTGGATGAAGTGAATTGCATGATCGCCTTCCTCTGGACACAGAGGCACGTCGGCCCTCAGGACCAAGAGGGCCAGGTGCAGGCCTTCCTCCCCGAAGTGGTGAGCCAGGGCTGACCTCACTGTGTCTCTCACCTCCTCTTTGCTCAGGCCGCTGTGGGGGTAGCTTGGAGTGTCGAGGACTCGAACACGGAGAGTGAGCTCGCGGCCATTTCTTCTTATGATCCCCGAAATGCGGCAGCTGCGCCCGAGGCTGCAGCCTGTGGTCACGGAGCTGGGGGAGCGACGACTCTCGAAGTCCCAGCTGCCCAGCAGGCTGTTCCCAGCAGCGCTTTTGCCAGTCTGAGATCTTCCCAGGACAACAAGGTTGATGGTCATCTCGTTGCTGTCTGCCATTGTCGACTTTTTTTTATCCACAAGCCCGGCGCTAAGCGAGGAACAAGTAAAATGAGCCATTTCAGATAACTTAAAAAAAAAAAAAATCCAGCGAAAATTAGAAAATTCAATGCCTTTTGACTGCCCTTCCCTGCCTGAAATGTTTTAAGGAGTGTGTGGTGTAGACAGATATTCAGGAGAGCACGTACACTTCTGTCTGATCCAAGGACAGGTCTTTGCTGTCCTTCCCAGTCTGCTCCTTAGAAATAACAAGACCCCATGGAAGGTGTCACAGGTACAAGAGCAGCCTAAAAGGCTGCGCTGCTACACTGGCAGAAACAGAAGAGCTGGGAAAGTATGGGATGTGAGAAGAGCTTTAGGAACAAGTAAAGCAGATAAAGCTAAGGAGAGGCGACAGAGAAGGAAGGGAAGGCAGGAGTTGGGAAACAACCATGGAAAACAGCACTGGCATGCAGGGAGAGTAGATTATGAAAAGGAGGCAAAACTAGGGGAGGAAGAAGAGGATGGTGACAAATACGTGCTGCTGTTATTAAGTGACCAAGTTTCAGGAAGCAAATCTTGTTTTTAGGAAAAAGTGGATAATCGGGGAGAAGCAGATTTTAAAGGAGCGCTTTTTCACAGCGGAAAACAGCTTAGAATATGTCTTTCATCAGCTACCCCTGAAGTTGAAATAGTAATCCAAAAGGGCTTTCTGACACAGATAAATATGTGTGACTTATAAATATAAAGGCCTTATAAACAACAAAGAAGAGCTGAAATAGCCAATGCTGCAGGTTCTTACCCCATGTGAAATTCAGACTGGAAATGTACACTCTACAAACTTTTTGATTTATGGCACAGTTAGTGGAAAATGAAAGCTTAGACTGGTGGATGGAGAGGGGAGCTGGGTAAGTATCATTTCCAGTTACTATAATTGTTCATAAGTAAGCCCTCTCATTCTCTTTGAATTTTTCTGTAATCCAGGATCTGAAGGGGTTTTGGTGGACATTAATTGTCTAACAGGAATACTGGATGATTAAATAAATTCAGAGTTGTTAAAGATGGAAAATCATATCAGCAAATAAGTAGTTTATAAGTAAGTTTATAGTTATCAGTGACACCTGAACTTCAGAAAGATTTTATTTATTTATTTTTTAAGATATAATGTTTAGGTACTCATAGAGAGATTGTGAATTTTATTTTTTTTTTTTTTTAAGACATAATGTTTAGGTACTCATAGAGAGATTGTGGCTAATTTTTGAAAGGGATTTCCTGTGATTTATTTAGATTCTTGCATGTGCCGTTCAAGCTTCTCCTTCATATTAAATCAATGCCCAAATCAATCTTTCAAAATAACTTCAGTATAAAGCCAAACATGCAAGAGCTATTAACATACTAATTTTGTTCCAGGCAACATTGAATGCTATACACGACCTTCCTTACTGAATTCGTAGTGGATTTTTCAGTGATCAATTTCCCTTTTTTTTTTTTTTTTCTTTAAGAATACTTTTTAAAATAGACACCTTATGAAATGGTTGTTATCAAAGAATACTTTTTTAAATAGACACCTTATGAAATGGTTGTTATCAGTTATTCAGCAATTTAGATGTACATTGTATTCTTTTTCTGTACCATAATAATACAACATGGTGGTCATGCATTATGCATTTGTGCATTCCTTGGTTAAATCACGATCAAGGATTTGGTGTTTTGGTTTTTTTTCTCCTGTAAGCAGCCTACACTTAAATACTTAGATTAATTTTATATTAGGTCACTTACCTTATTTTCCCATAAAATTCCTATTTCATTCAGACCTCATTCATAAACCACGTGTGCAGTATAAAAAGAAGTCCGTATGTGAACTTTGAAACTAACAGCAGCAACGTACCATGCTGAGACTGTTACGTACACATTAATCTGGTTAATCTATTACTGATAGATCCTCATTCAATTGGGTATGTTTCTCCAGTAATTGGCACATGAATTTTTGCAACTTAGCTGCAAAATACTGCAGATACAGTTTTTGCAATGGCTTTAGTGATTGTATGAAGTTGATATTTTTGAAAGGTAGTTGAGTTCTACCAGCAGTTAAATGTGACAGTGATAGTGGAGGTACTGAGATTACTTTGTGTTGCATGTTTTTGAATGTGTGTTCATATATATGCATGTGAAGAGCATATGCACTTTCTCTTATTACTGCAATGAATTAGTAATTTCAATATTTTCAAAGCACAGTGTAAACCATATGCAGATGTAAAGCTGTTTGCCTAAGAAAGATGGATTAAAAAAATCAAAATATGCATTAAAATGCAGAAATTATTTGTGAAAACTCAAAGGCTTGCACCACTGCCATCGTGTGCATTAGCTCATAGCTCAATAGGTTGATGCATTTCTCTTGGAAGCATCATTCTTTGCCATGCTACAGTAGCATTAAAACAAGGGATAAAAGGATTGTCCAGAAAGGACCTATCATTTGCTTTTCAGGCAATTTCCCACATGCGGGAAAGCAACTGATTTGAACTCCTGTGCCTTAGTGGAAGATAAATATAAATTTGTGCTTTAATGACCAGGTTCTAGTAATAGAACGAAAGAGTGGAGTGAGCCCTTCGTAAGGACAGGTTTAGATAAGCCACCTCTCTGAGTGTAAGTCCAAGGTGGGTGGGGGCACATGTTTACTCCAAGGGTGTTAAAATATGTGTCACTACACTGAGAACAAGAGTCTGGTATGTAGTCTGTCTGTGGTAGGAGGAAGGGGAAGGTGCTTTCTAGAGCCCAGTCCTGCTGGGAACATTGGCGTCTAAAACATAGCTCTGTGTGGAAGCCTGTAAGTACTGGTTTGCCCCACAGTACCAGGGCTGTTCCTGCCAACCGCAGCAGTGGAGCAAGACTTCAGTTCCTCTGGAAGCCTGTTGTCTCCCACTATGGTGCCACAGGCACAGCCAGTGCTTTGGCAGAAGGTTAGACATTGTCATCCAAAACATAGCTCTGTGTGGAAGCCTGTAAGTACTGGTTTGCCCCACAGTACCAGGGCTGTTCCTGCCAACCGCAGCAGTGGAGCAAGACTTCAGTTCCTCTGGAAGCCTGTTGTCTCCCACTATGGTGCCACAGGCACAGCCAGTGCTTTGGCAGAAGGTTAATGATGCCTTCACAGTCTCCTCCTGTAAATTCACATCATTCATCATGAATGAGTTCATCTTTTGTGTTACTTGGCTGTAGATGGCTGCACAATAATTCTGTTGCCGTTATGTTTTTAAGAGCACATAGACATTTAGTTGCTTTCAGACTGCTTTTCACTGCTCTCAAGCCTGCCTGTTCTTGTGAGAGGTGGGAGATTAAATCCCTTCCTCTATCATATGTGTAGCTGAGGTAGCTACTGATAGTTTCCACTGTGAAAATCCTGTGGCTCAATGCTGTGCACAGCCTTTGTCTGAAGGCATATTTATATATAAAGTGTATAGCAAGGTTCCTTCATTTGCTAGTGGATACAAACTCAAAAGAAGAGCTAAAGATGCCTTCACAGTCTCCTCCTGTAAATTCACATCATTCATCATGAATGAGTTCATCTTTTGTGTTACTTGGCTGTAGATGGCTGCACAATAATTCTGTTGCCGTTATGTTTTTAAGAGCACATAGACATTTAGTTGCTTTCAGACTGCTTTTCACTGCTCTCAAGCCTGCCTGTTCTTGTGAGAGGTGGGAGATTAAATCCCTTCCTCTATCATATGTGTAGCTGAGGTAGCTACTGATAGTTTCCACTGTGAAAATCCTGTGGCTCAATGCTGTGCACAGCCTTTGTCTGAAGGCATATTTATATATAAAGTGTATAGCAAGGTTCCTTCATTTGCTAGTGGATACAAACTCAAAGACCACTGGATGGGGAGTGACTCACTTGCAAACCAAAAAGGTAGGTCAGTCTTGTAAAACTATGGACATTGTGAAGATAAAATCCAGATGCTTCCTTCAATTTCCCTAGAAGTCTTGACTTTGGTTAAATTGTCACAGTCTAGCTCTGTACTTTTCATTGTACTGTTCCTATGCACAGTAGGCAGCATAGATCCTGGCAGTTGCATCCAACTGAGCAAGTAGCCTGGCAAGGAGATAATATAAGCTGTGCATGGACAAAGATTTAGACTACCAAGTAAGCTGGGATTCCACAAGCAGAGGAGCAAAATACATCTTGCCCAGCTGGATGCAGAACAGGGCTTTTATGCTGGCAAGATGGCTGTAAAATTAAGAGTAGTGTAAATGAGGTGCTATTTAAATGATATCTAACACTTGGCTAAAAAAATTTCCCAACAAGAAAAGGCTTTTATTTCCAGTATTACTATCAGTGTAATAGACTCTGAGTTGGGACACATCTGGAAGGTCTTACAACAGCAGAGGCAGAGGATTCAAAGTTGTCTTCCTGGAAGGATATGACAGAGAAAAAATTAAACTGATTTATATGATACTTGCTTGGTCTGCTCATAGTACGTGGAAAGAGTCCTCCCCAAGGTGGCAGTATCAGCCTGCTCCACAGGTATTGTAAAACTCAGCTGGGGTCCCTTTGCTCTGGAGTCCTAAATACTGTGTCAGAAATGAACTAAAGCATTAGAAAATACAGAATAATTACAGGAGTCTTCGAGCATCTCCTGAAATAAGAAATGTAAAAAGCATTTGTCTCTCTGTTACCACAAGAAACTTTTTTTACTTCATATTAAGTGCAGACAGTGTAATACCTTAATGAATTTCGACAGCAGTAACAGAAAGGTAGCAGTTAAGAAACTGTAAGTGTGATTTTACCTTCCCTTATATGATTCTTTTTCTAATGAAGACCTTTGTTTTCACTGGCTTTTAAGTTGAGTTTGTGACAATTATTATGGGGCTTTGGATATGACATCTTAAAATCTATTGTCAGAGTATGAATTTGCAAAGAACAAGTACAGAGTACAACAAAACTGCCTTGGGTGCTTTTTAGCGCTGCTCACTGCCAATGGGTGAACTATATTTTGTTGTTGTTTTCTTTGGTTTTATATAACTTTATTTTTGAAATGGCAAATTAAAAGCTGAAACTGAGCCTATTACAGGTTGGCAGGCAGGAAGGCTTCCTGTAAGTGATAAAGGAAGCCTTATACTGCTCCCATAAAATACCAAGCAAGTCTAGTGAATAATTGTCAAGAAACTAAGGAAGTAAGGCCCCTAATCTAGTTGAAAATAAGCGGCATTTGGGTATCAGCTGCTTCAGTTGTCTTTTAAAAACCAAGGCTAAAATCATTTGCAAGTAACCATTGGATTTGTGCGTATTTACAGGGATAACTGGAGTTGCAGTGCCTCTTAGTCACATTACTGTGTCAGCTGCTGTTCCGTTGTAGTCCCTGTGATCACTCAGTTGTTCTTTACATACCCTAAACAAGTTTGCCATTATACTTGTTAGGTTATACCGAGCAGGCTAGATCTTGTAAACTGCAATAGCATAGTTTCTCTTGAGGCACATGGCAGCTCTTACCATGTGTCATCTTTCAGTTCCCACACCTTCCCATCCCTTACAGCTTCTTTCCTCATGCGGACTCTCGTTTTAGCCCAAGATGATGCCATAATAAGTAATTTAAGATGTGCTTTGATGAATTTCTCTTACTTAGAGAAAACCCAGTGAGGCCATTTTATGGATTGCCACACATGGAGGCAGGCTCTTAGCCTACGCAAACAACATGAGAAATCCAGGAAGGTATGCAGTCCATGTTGTCAGTGTGGCTTCAGTTCTGTTAGATGTGTAATTTCTAAGAAAGACCAGGCATGTCACAGCTGAGAGTGATAGGACAGATCTGGTGATGCTCTGCTCCTCTTGGACTGCATTCATAACAAAAAATTCTGTGCTGATCCTAAAGGAACACACACATAAAACATGCTTATGTTTCCTTAAAACAGATTATTTTCTTACTTTGCTTAGTCCGATCCTTAGTATTTTTGAACAGAAGTAAGCAATTATCAGCAATTACGTTTCTCTTTGCAGTATAGGTGGCTGTGTAGGTTATATGCTACTACCTTTGCATTGCTAGGGGGAAAGGAGGTGGAGTATAGCTGCAGACTAGTGCTGCAATTGCACCAGCTTTCTCACAGTGCCTGTTTGTACAATTGTGGAACCAGCTCCCCAGGTTCCCATTGGGCTTCTTAACAGCAGATTATGGGTTCAGGGCAAATACTGCTGGGAGAAAGGCAGATCAAGGACCTGCCTTGTGTTGAAAAGGAGGTTGAGCAGAACTATCAGCACAGTGAGAACATCAGACTTTTCTTTTTCTCTCAATTCTCCCACTGAATCACCAAGATCCACAAGGTGTCCTTTTCCTTTGTCCTCTGCAAATAATAGACAACTTCAAATTAGAAACCAGTATCTTTGACGTGCTGATCTGGTAAGTATTGTGGCTGTGGAAGTATTGTGTCTCTTCAGTTGGCAGGAATGGTATTCTTCTAAGCACTCTGCTTCTCAGTGCACTGAGAACATACCACTGTAACACAGAACACAGGGTCTTCTTGTTTCCTGGTTGTATGGTTTGCTCTGACATGGCTTTTCAAAACGCTGGGGGATGGACTGTAAAATCAGGCATTTCACTTTTACCATCACAGGCTGCCAGTTTCTTCATTCTTGTACTAACCCCACCTTCTCCACTTTAACTGAGGATTTTCCCCATGGCTGCATATCATTATTTTTTTTTAATATGCAAGGAATAATTTTAATAGATGATATTGTGCTATACTGTCTCTGGAGCAGATTGCTTGGAGATCTTTAGAGTGTCTTGTTTTCACCCATGTTGCCAGGATATGTTTTCTCTAGCATAATTGTTGGACATAAGTCACTAGTGAGCAGGTTTGG